TGTGTGTGTGTGTGTGTGTGTGTGTGTGTGTGTGTGTGTGTGTGTGTGTGGCTCTCAGCCAGAGTTATCTTGCAAATTGTTTTGTCTGTTTCCCATAGATGTGACTGAAAAGGAATGCAGTCAGAATTAGCTCAGAGCGAAACAGCCATGCAGGGCGATATGTTTTATGAGAGCGAAAGTATGCCTGTGTGCGTCTGCTTGAGAAGAAAGGGTCCTATTAAGTTACAAACAAGATAGTGAGAGGGAATGTGAACGATGGCAAGTGTGCAAGAGGCACGGATAAAGGGAAAGAATGAGCGTGGAACAGGTGGTCTAATCTGAGGCCCCACCCATGGCACCCCTGGGCCCCCTTTCTTTGCTCCGTCCAAACTGTGCACTCTTAAGAATTTCTTACTCCATTGTCCAAACCGTGGACATTCAGGGACTCTCGAGGTGAAAACTTTGTGTTTGCATTTGCATGTAAATTGAGACGAAGCGCATACGTTTAAGTGTTTATCATATTTTTTCACCCATGCTGAGAGCTGCCGAAGCCTCTCTGACCTCATTGTTAGCTCTGCGGCAGGGAAAAAGGCAGGAATCGCTATGAAAATTAACCACGCTATAATCCAGAGGAGGTGTTTTTTCTGCTGGTTTTGTGTGCAGTGAGAAAAACACTCCGAGGTCTCTGGGGACATCTGTGGGACGTGAGCCTCCGGGACTCTGTGAGAGACCACGGGCACCATTAAAACGTCTCTGTAATTGATTAAAGCGTGCAGGCTGCTGTGCCTGGGCAAGAAAAACATCACTCAACACTATTGCATTAAGATAAAGGCATCAGTTTCAGGTTCGAATTCTAAATCTCCATCACGAGTGGTACTTGAACGCCTCGTTGCAGAATGATCCGTCCTGTCCACGGGCTCCTTTTTCCCCCAGAATGTTGTTTATTTTTATTGTCATCTCAGCATGTGACGTGGACATGCGCGCCGAGGTAACACAGGGTTCATGTTGTCTTATAGCGGACTCTATTGGATTGTTTTGCGTGCGATGGCCAATTGGGAGACGGCTGCGTGCAAACAAAGGCCAGACTGTCCTGTCGGAGAAACTAGGACGCCCTTCTCCTGCATGTAAACATCTTACTCAGCTCGGGTCGACCGATCGGGACCTCTGCCTCGATACCGCTCGCGTGCTGAGCCCTGAGCGCAGGCGGTGGGGGTGGAAGGGGGCGTTTCCCGAGCGGGGGGGGTCAGAGGTTAAAGCCCCCCTCCCCGTCGGCCGCACTTTGCTTTAGCTGAGCTGTGTCAGAGATATGCGGAATGATGACACAGGATGAGGAGGGATAAGCAGGGACGAAACAGAGGGGATGAGGTTTATCAGGAGCATGTGTCGGCCAGCCAATTAGGAGCCTGTTTGCCACTGAATCCAATTGGCCCTAATGGGCCGTGGTGGAGTTTACTGCCTCTGACTGACATGTTTTCAGCTTAAACCCCGTGAGCCTATCAGTGTGTTTCTGTCCTCTCCGGCATTAGTTTTTCTGACCTCTCTCTCAGTCTGGGTATCCAGATGCTGCGGGAGGATGTCAGAGAAATAAACAGCTGCGCGGCCGAAGCCTGAGGTTTCCTTATTTTGATCATTAAACTGTCCTCTGATATGCCCCGCTGCTAGCCAGCATCACAGCTGCGTGTCAGAGATGAACTAGGCCTCGT